CGGAGGTCAGATATGAGACCAAAGGGGAGGACGGAGGTCAGATAGAAGACTGAAGGGAAGGACGGAGGTCAGATAGGAGACTGAAGGGGAGGATGGAGGACAGATAGAAGAATAAAGGGGAGGACGGAGGTCAGATAGAAGATTGAAGGGGAGGACGGAGGTCAGATAGAAGATTGAAGGGGAGGTCAGATATAAGATTGAGGGGAGGATGGAGGTCAGATATAAGACTGAAGGGGAGGACGGAGGTCAGATAGAAGATTGAAGGGGAGGACGGAGGGCAGATAGAAGATTGAAGGGGAGGACGGAGGGCAGATAGAAGATTGAAGGGGAGGACGGAGGGCAGATAGAAGATTGAAGGGGAGGACGGAGGGCAGATAGAAGATTGAAGGGGAGGACGGAGGGCAGATAGAAGATTGAAGGGGAGGACGGAGGGCAGATAGAAGATTGAAGGGGAGGACGGAGGGCAGATAGAAGATTGAAGGGGAGGACGGAGGGCAGATAGAAGATTGAAGGGGAGGACGGAGGGCAGATAGAAGATTGAAGGGGAGGACGGAGGGCAGATAGAAGATTGAAGGGGAGGACGGAGGGCAGATAGAAGATTGAAGGGGAGGACGGAGGGCAGATAGAAGATTGAAGGGGAGGACGGAGGGCAGATAGAAGATTGAAGGGGAGGACGGAGGGCAGATAGAAGATTGAAGGGGAGGACGGAGGGCAGATAGAAGATTGAAGGGGAGGACGGAGGGCAGATAGAAGATTGAAGGGGAGGACGGAGGGCAGATAGAAGATTGAAGGGGAGGACGGAGGGCAGATAGAAGACTGAAGGGGAGGGCTGAGGTCAGATAGAAGACTGAAGGGAAGGCCGAAGGTCAGGTAGAAGACTGAAGGGGAGGACGGAGGTCAGATAGAAGACTGAAGGGGAGGACGGAGGTCAGATAGAAGACTGAAGGGGAGGACGGAGGTCAGAGTTAAATACATACATTGTTGCAGTGAGATATGAACTACAGAAGAGAGAGCCCGGTACACAGGAGCTTACAATCTAAACGTTACATTTGTACGTATTCAGTGTGTGTGAATGTTGGTGGAATCGTCGTGTAGAATTGTTATGAGCAGCGTAAACTAAGCTGATTCCCCCCTTTGCTGTCTCCAATTGCATGTCTTGGATCTCTCAGATACACACTTGTTGAGTCAGGTGCTCTTCTGTCAGCCCAGCGAGCCGTCCTCGGGGCTCCTGAAGATGTTCGATGAAGATCAGATGTTCCACTACAACTTCGAGGAGCACTCCACCTCCGCCTGGCTCAGCGACTTCAACCAATGGAGCGGCCAGGCCTTCCCTAGCGCAGAGAACATTTCGTCTGATCTGGTTTTCTGTAAAACGTTTCGTGAAAATCTGACTACAGCTCTGGAAGACATCATGCCGGAGGCCAGAGGTGAGGGCCCCGTACAGGGCTGGGGGCCCAATGTGGTTGTGGGTGTGAAGATGAGTCATATACAGTATAGTGGAACCAGGCCCCTGAGATCAGACTGAGCTTAACCATTCATTACAATAGGGGCCCATTCACATCATTCATGAGCAGCGGCATGTTGCGTCGCGCTGGTGCAAGTTTTTTTGGCATGACATACAAATTAGGAATGCAGTGATACCGGCTTTTCGGTTACGAGTACCGTTTTTTGCTTTTTTCGGTACTCGCCGGAACCGGTGCCGTGTGCCCAGAATATCACGAAGTTGGGCAACGGATGATGACCCATCGCCCGGCTTCCTGATTGGCTGTGAAGCGGGTGTTCTACCGAAAGAACACCTGCCGAGGCTGGTCAGGAAGCCACGCTGCCTAGCAACAAGTGAAGCCGGCTTCCTAGCCAATCAGGAAGGCGGGCGGCACGTCATGACCTGCCTCCCGGCTTCCTGATTGGTCAGGAAGCCACGCCACCTAGCAATAAGTGACGCCAGCTTCCTAGCCAAACAGGAAGCCGGGATGCGAATCATGACGTACTGCCCGGCTTCCTGACTTGGTTAGGAAGCCAAGTTGCTTACCAACATGTGAAGCTGGCTTCCTAGCCAATCAGGAAGGCGGGCGGCAGGTCATGACCCGGCTTCCTAATTGGCTAGGAAGCCAACGTCACTTGTTCCTAGGCAGCCTGGCTTCCTGACCAATGAGGGAGCCCTGTCATTAAGTGCCGCCTGGCTTCCTGATTGGTTAGGAAGCCAGGCTGCCTAGCAACAAGTGAAGCCGAGTTTCTAGCCAATCAGGGAGGCGGGTCATAATTGACCGCCTGGCTTCCTGATTGAAAAGGAAGCCGGCTCCATGCTCCCTCAGCACTTGCAGTCAGAGGGAGATCTCCGTCTGACCAGAAGTTCCGGTATTGGGGGTAAGTATCGGAGCGTTGGGGCAAGTACGAGTACTGGCCCAAATGCTCAGTATCGGTACCGATAGCAATACTAGTATCTGTGCATCCCTAATACAATATATAGATATACTACATTTGAATACAACGCACACTGATGTACTTGTATGGAGTAGAGAAGGCACACAGGGGGCCATAGTTTCCTTAGTGACCTTGCGTTGAGTCTTCATTGATCAGTGCACCTTGTGTGAATGAGCCCTCACGGTGAATGCGTTGCAGACCTCTCTCTGCCCCTGGACACTGCTGTGTTGTCAGGCTTGCTTTCATTCCATAATCATTCCTGGAAACATGAAGTAGAACTGAAGGCAGTTTTGGATAGAGTAGGGAAGAGCGATAACCATCAGTGGCACCGGGGTGGGTGTCACCTGGTTCAGCCACCACGCATGCTCTTTGACATCTGTGACATCATTACGCATGCTCAGTGATGTACTTCACTGCCAGCGGCCATCTTGGTGATAGACACCAGCAAAGAGAGGAGGGGATATTGACCCAGCAGGATCCGGTATGCCACCAAGTCCCCTCGCTCTTGTGCCACTGTCAGGCTCTCGGGCCATGACCGAGCGCCTAATTTTTAAGATGGGGTGACACCAAAAATTACTTTTAGTCATTTTGGTCTCACCCCCTTTAATGGTGTCACCTAGCGTGAGCTGCACCGCCCTTGTGACGCCACTGGCTATAACCTCTGCCAGCTGTTTCTTGTTATCTGTGTCCCATTGGGGAGATTTCCCTTCACTTCCTGTCCGACAACCTCAACTGGGAAGTGAGAGGAAATCCCTCCAAAGTGAAATCCCTGGTGGTCCGCAGAACTAGCGGCACCATTGGAAGATTTCCCATCTCTTCCTGTTCTGGTGACAACCCAAAATTTGGGATTTTCTTTCACTTTCAGTGATAACGGTCACCAGGACAGATGGAGGGGGTGAATCTCCCTAATGAGGACACAGCAATAAAAATAAACATGTAAAGATTGTGTGTGTACATTAAGGTACCAGAACCCAGCACACAGATCCGAACGGTCTCTATGAGGGTACAGTAATGGACCGCTCTTCATCTTCCCTTCTGTATTCGTAGGTGGTACACATGTGGCGGTGTTTACTGCACATCCCCTCCATATCGGGGTGTCCAACACCTTGATCTGCGCCATCAGTGACGTGTACCCCCCGGCACTGACCATCACCTGGAGGAAGGACGGAAAAGTGTTGTCAAGAGAACTGAACTCGTATAGATACTTCTCCTTGAATGACCTGAGCTTCCAGGCCTTCTCCTACCTCAACATCACCCCCAACTATGATGAAACCTATTCCTGTGACGTGCAGGTGGGGGGTGACCACAGGACCATAGTCTCCTACTGGGGTCAGTATAATACTAATTCTAGGGTTCGGGGTTTTGTTAGTGTGTTAACCCCTTAAGGACCTTTTTTGCACCCATGTTATAATCCACATTGGAGGCCTGAAAATTACTTCAAAGATGATATATTTTCTGAAAGCCGAGACCCTGTAGAATAAAATGGCGGCAGTTGCAAATTTTTATATTGCACGACATTAGCGCAACGTATTATCAAACCCAAAAATGTAGTGTAAAATGTACTTAAGTTAAATTTAGTGCCCCAAAACACGATATAATACCTTTTTTTTTGTGTGGGGGTAAAATATAAAAGATCAGGTTACAACGAGTAAATAGATCCACAACCTGCGCAGGTTACAAATTGTGTGCGTCCGTATCATCAGTACCGAAAAAAGCCCCCACAGGTCATCAGTTTAGAGATATGAGTAAATATTGGCCCTTGCATTATTGCTCTCACTCCGGCGTGTGCGACGATGTAGTGCAATCCTCGTTTTCGTACGTAGGCACACCCGAAGATGCACGTGCTCACAGGGGACTTTACTTTTTTTATTATTATTACATTTATTTTATTTAATATTATTTTAAAAACTGTTTGTTTTTTTACTTTACTTTAAATGCTATCGCATGGGGGGCTTAGAAGCCCCCCATGTGATAGCATATTGGCAGTGACAGGTCCTCTTTAAGATGATGCGGGGGGTCCAAAGACCCCCTGTGTCACCTTTACACTCTAAATAAGCTAAGCTATTGAAGTGCAGATGGCACTTCAATAGCTTATTGCTGGACTTCAGGAGCCGACCAATGACAGGTCTGGGACCGAAAGTGATGTAATTTGCGTCGCTCCAGGTCCCATAGAACGAGGAGCAGATCGGTGAATGGATGTTCATTGCTCTCCTCCCCAGCTTCCCACCAACACCCAAGATGGCGTTCCCTGGGGCAGCAGGAGGGCAGAGGAGCCCAAGAAGCACGGCGGGGGTGTCGGGCGGGGGACATTACCGGCCCGTAGAAGCGATCTGGCGACAGTCAGCTTTACAAATATGAAACGAGTCTGTTTAACCCCTTAAGGACCCAGGATGGAATTATCCCGTTGTGGGTCATCCACGGGTTAAAGGAATCTTCCATTTATTATACAATCCGGTGTCATTAAGTGATAATTTTGGGCATCAACCTTCTTGATCCTTTTGGACACTCGGAGGGTCTTGTAAGAATGTAAAGTGTATGTATAGAGAGAACGTTTTGGAACCTTTTGGGGATGAGGATAAAATTCCTGCCGGTTTATTTTGTTTGCCATCTGTGTCCTGTTGGGGAGATTTTCCTTCACTTCCTGTCCTGGAGATACCACATTAAAGAAGAACTCCAGGAAATGTAAAAAGGAACCCTTGTAGTGGGGCTACCCCTGCACTGTGAGGGTTACGTGCTCACTAGGTGCTCGAATAAAGCAGATATACTCACCTGATCCTCCATCCTGCCTGCCTGCAAGACCGGTCCCTTCAGCCTCTTCTCCTCCGGGCTCCTGCAGGCTAAGGACCCCCGTGACATCATCATGTCTGATGATGCATTAGATGTGAGGCTGCTGAGGGACATTCTACAGAGGGGGAGAGAGGTGAGCGGTCACTGCCGCAAGGCCGAGGATCAGATGAGTATTTCTTTACTTCGGCCCCTAGACCAAAATGAGCAGTTAACCCTTGCAGCGCGGGGGACGCTCCAGTGCGAGGGAACGTTCCTGTGTGATCCTGTGTGTCAAAGCTCAGGGCGGTGGGTTCCATGCGCTGTTGTTGGGTTCATACCCATAGCCCATGGACACAGGAGGTCCTAATGGAACTCTCACTTGTAGACTTTAGTCATCATCATGAACAATCTGCAGCTGACATCAGATCCATCTCCTTATCTGCATTTCACTTTTATTCTCCATTTCTAGTTCCAGACTTCCCCGTTCCCTCTGATGTGCTGGAGAACGCCTTGTGCGGTTTGGGTTTCGCTCTCGGCGTGGTCTTCCTCCTCGTGGGTTTCATGTTCCTCTGTCTCAGTAAAAAACTACATCAGTTGGGTAAGTCTGGGACTTCCTGGGCTTGTGGTCAGTGTGCGGAAAGTTGTCTTCGTGTCTCAAATGTATTTAAAGAGGAACTCCGGAGCTGTCTAGATCTATAAAATATCCTGGCAACAGTTATGTCTCTGTTTCCTGAGGTGTATGTGCAACCCAATAATGGACTTAAAGGAGAACTATGAGGCGAGTGAAAATCAGTCATCCTCATAGTTCGAGCCGACGTGTGACAATGAAACTGTCGGCTCAATAGATCGGTAAGTGAGCGAACACATACCGTCGCTCGCTCACTTCTCGATCCTGTCCCTGCAGAGAGTGGTGACTGTCAGTCACCATTTCCTGGAGGGATTACTCCCCTCTCCGATTCTCCAGCACTGACTGGAGGAACGGACGGGGAGGGGGCGGGCACAGCTGGCTCTGCCTCTAGATAGGCAGAGCCCGCTGTCAATCACGCAGCTGGGTGGATCTCGACAGTATTGTCGTGATCTGTCCCGGCTGCGGCGCTCTCAGTATACCGTGAGGTGTAGCCCGCTTTATACTGAGCTTTGGGTCACGAGAGGACACTAGTATATGTCCTCCCGTGACTCTTTAAGAGAACTATGGGGGAAAACACTGACCCCATAGTTCTCTTTTAACTTATTTGTTCCATTTGGGTTTGCTGATATTTAAAAAAAAAGTTTAAAGCATTCAGCAAATACCTGTTGATCCTGCCAGAAATCCAGTGATATAACTTCCTTTGCTTACTGTTAGCACTGTTCCAAGTTATCTCTGTGGACTACAGAAGACTTCACCACATAAGAAATATACAGTGTATATATATATATATATCTAATGTGTGTGTATACTGTATGTACTCTGTGTGTGTGCATATGTATGTATGTGTATAGATATATAGATAGATACACCACACACACACACACACACACACACACACACTGTATATACACTGAGTGGCCAGATTATTATGACCACCTGACGTTTGTAGGCAAATTAGCTATAATTTGGCGCTGAAGTTGCTAGAGGGCCAGACCATTATAAATAGGGAAGCAGGTTGGTTACCACGACAGTAGAGGTGATTTCTTTCTGAAGATTCGGGGAAACAACGCGATTTAACAGCCTTTGAACGTGGGATGATTGTTGGCGCTCGGAGCCATGGAGCGAGTATCAGCAAAACAGCAGAATTCGTTAAATGTTCAAGAGCAGCTGCTGTTAAAGTGTTTAAAGACCGGACTGTCAGCCGAAAATCTGGGTCTGAACGTGTGAATTGTGGCCGTCAGCGACTAGTCAATGTTAGGGCAGAACGGGGGAGGGGCAAGACTGGTACAAGACAACAGAAGGGCAACAGTGCCGTGTCAGATTCCTCGCATCACCTTTCACCATCTCGTGGAGTCACGAGGCGGCCCAACGAAGTACTGATGGGGGGGTCATAATAATCTGGCCACTCAGTGTATAATCCTCTAATTAGAATTCTGTACCGGGCAAAGAGAGAGGGAAGAAAGGATGAGCACCTCCCCTGATCATCCAACTATGTACATATATCTGCAACGTATGAGTAATTGATTTCTGTACTGCATTATTTCAGCAAAGCGGTTACGATTAGCCTAATAAACACTTGGCAATCAGTCCAGAGTTACACTATATGGCTTAAAATGGGTAAAAATAACATATTTCATATTCACTGAAAAAAGAATATTTAAAAAAAACATATTAGATAAATAAATGAAAATGTATACAAAGCGCCGTCCACGTGCTGCCAGCCAATGAGCCTCATGAATATAACGCCCGGATCATCCCGTTCCTCATCCTGGGGTATATGTAGAAAGACAACTAACATGCATTTCTCATATTTATTCTCCACTCTGTTTCCTATAGAATGACCTTCCTGGAATCCATATCATCATCTTTTTTGAAGATCAAGATGAAGACTTGAGCTGACCTAACTACTATAGTGCCGTCATGTTCCCCATTGTGGGGACCTCTACGTGTTTTCATTACAGATTGGAATCATTAGATTGGGCATAAGTCTCTGCTATTTCTCTCCTCTTCCTGTTCTGACTGACAACCGTCACCTGGACAGGAAATGAGAGAACATGTCACTAATGGGGGCACACACAGCAATACAGCCCTGTTCGAGGTTCTACAACTTCCTCGCTCTATTAGAACATGTGTTTCTGTTGTCACTTTTGTTCCTGTTAGAGGGAGTTCATCTCACCAAACATTGACAGAGGTTCCTTCCCAAACTTTACCTGAAACTACAAAATAATTGCCTTGTCTCAAGCTGGGTTTTAATATTTATGCGTTGTGTTCACTCCAGCACTGTGTCACACATGCATGTTCTCAGACCCATGACCCAGCACTGTGTCACACATGTATGTTCTTAGACCCATGACCCAGCACTGTGTCACACATGTATGTTCTTAGACCCATGACCCAGCACTGTGTCACACATGTATTTTCTCAGACCCATGACGCAGCACTGTGTCACATGTATTTTCTCAGAACCCATGACCCAGCACTGTGTCACACATGTATTTTCTCAGACCCATGACGCAGCACTGTGTCACATGTATTTTCTCAGAACCCATGACCCAGCACTGTGTCACACATGTATTTTCTCAGACCCGTCACACATGTATTTTCTCAGACCCATGACCCAGCACTGTGCCACATGTGTATTAACTCAGACCCATGACCCAGCATTGTGTCACACAGGGGTCACCCATGACCCTTGCTGCTTCGTAGAATTGTTTACTAGGAAATCCTAATAAAGAAATATTATATAAAGAAATAACTATTCCCGCTTTCCCCGTGTATGAATGGGATTCTTCCCTCAGTTTCCCCGTGTATGAATGGAATTCTTCTCTCAGTTTCCCCCGTGTATGAATGGAATTCTTCCCTCAGTTTTCCCATGTATGAATGGAATTCTTCCCTCAGTTTCCCCGTGTATGAATGGGATTCTTCTCTCAGTTTCCCCGTGTATGAATGGGATTCTTCCCTCAGTTTCCCCGTGTATGAATGGAATTCTTCCCTCAGTTTCCCCGTGTAAGAATGGAATTCTTCCCTCAGTTTCCCCGTGTATGAATGGAACGGGACTTCTTAGGAGATCTTTATGCCGAGTCTTGTCTCCATTATCATACAGCTGCACATGTGGGTAGCAAAATTTGCGCCATGCGTTCTGCTGTGTTTTGCGAACGTGCCTCAAAAGGCACACATTCCTGCAATGTCTAGGTGTGAACCGAACCTGAGAGTGTGTGCGAAGAGTCTCAAATTAGAATAGCAAAACCAAAAATGTTTTTCCGCTCTGATTGTCGGGAACACATTGATGGTTGTGAATATTTGTTATTTTTAGGTTGTGTTTGTGTCACATGACTGATATCCTTCGGATGTTATCGATATGAAATCATTGATTAAAGTTGTACTGAGCTTCAACGAGGTGTTTGGACGCTCATTGATTTTTAAATAAAAGGTTAAAAAACGTAATGTGTGTTGTTTTTTTGATAAACGTTTTTATAATCGCGTGATGTTTTTTACTTGTTTGTGAAAAGTAACACAAAGTAGATTAGTGTGGGGTAGAGTAAGGAAGGGTCAGAGCCTCTGACAGGTATTTATTAGACATGTGTCATTCGTTTCATTCCGAATCAAAATTCGGACATTCAGACACCTCCGAATTCCTGTATCCCAATGTGTCTGAATTTCGCTCAAAAACTGAATCGGACATGTGACTTTTCTGGCCAATCAGATGTGTTTGCCATTCGGAGTCTGGGAGTCTCAGCTTTAGTAATACATGTATATGGGTCCCAGACCCAAATGGCATTTGGGAGTTCCTGAATGCAATTCGGATCCCAAATGCCATTCAGGTCTAGGAGATCAAACAAAGGAGGGACCTGAAGGCGAAAGTTCTTCATCAGGTCCTCCTCTGCTGATTGACAGCAGGCAGGGGGCGGGTGCAATAGCCAGCCTGTTACTGGCTACTGCAATTTAAAAGAGCCAATACCAGGCTGGTTATTGCTGCGGGAATGGGGACAATCGGGGCTGACAGCAAGAGAGGAGAGCTGAGGGGTGAGTAGACTGCACGGGGTAGGGAAACTCACAGACTGACGGAGGTTTCTCCTTACAGTCTGTAATCGGCTGTCTGTCCCTCTGACACAGATCGCTGCAGCCGATCGCAGCCTGTAAGGAGAAATCTCCAACAGTCTGACTCTGCAGCGGGGAGAGTTCTGCTGTGTGCAGGCAGCATTAGGAGCCCTGTCACATTCAAGCATGCATCGCAGCCGCCGAACATCTCATCATGTGACATGGTTCCTAATGCTGTCTGCGCACAGCAGCGCTAAGGTCCCCTGTCACTTCACAACTGACTGAGGTCATGTGTTAGGCAAATTAGGCGGCTGCGAGGCCCTTGTGAGCGCGAAGTCTAAGTCACCGCCTAATTTGCCTAATTAGAGAGCCGCCTCTGTTACCCTGGTAGGACATATGTTGACGGCAGACAATCTCTGGTTCCCTTTGGGTGTCGCCCAACCAATGTCTCCTGATTAGAATTTACAAACTTTACTTGAAGCAAACAAAAACCGGTTGGATCAGACGGTCACTTTCCTCGCCTCTGATTATAACTTGTGATCTCATTACAGAAGAGGAAGTGAAGCCATCTGTAATGAAAGAGCGCAGCTCACTTCCTCTTAATGTCTCAAAATCCCCCAAATAAAGTGCACTTCCTGCACCCCACGCAAAGGTGTTACTTTTCTTATTGGTTCCCTCCAAACTTCCTGTCTAGTTAAAAAAAAAAATGAGACCGTAGATGAACGGAGAGCATAATAGGAGAGAACGGACAATCATGGTTCTCTATATCAGCCACAAGCGCGCATTCTGCCACTAGGATTTTCCATCACGTTTCTCGATCAATTCACTGACACTTTTATTGTAACATATTCCTGAATAGCCCTCGCAGACGCAGATATTACTCTGTAAAAGTGACTGTGCTCCACCTGTCACGTACAGAGAGCAGAACTGTAAGAGGTACCCAGCAGGCCCCACCCACTACAGGATGAGGGGCGGAGACAAGACCAGTTACTCTGCACAATGAGAGGGAGCAGCAATGATCGGTTTTTATTACAGGAGGGGGGCGGAGACGAGACCAGTCACCCTGCACAAGGAGAGAGAGCTGCAGTGACCGGTCTTTATTACAGGAGGGGGCGGAGACCAGACCAGTCACCCTGCAAAAGGAGAGAGAACAGCAGTGAGTGGTCTTTACTACAGGAGGGGGCAGAGACAAGACCAGTCACCCTGCACAAGGAGAGAGAGCTGCAGTGACCGGTCTTTATTACAGGAGGGGGCGGAGACCAGACCAGTCACCCTGCAAAAGGAGAGAGAACAGCAGTGAGTGGTCTTTACTACAGGAGGGGGCAGAGACAAGACCAGTCACCCTGGACAAGGAGAGAGGGAGCAGCAGCGATCGGTTTTTATTACAGGAAGCTCCGAGTCTCGCATTGGATTACTACACAGATCTGGAAGAAATACACAAAGCTCACAGAGATTCAGGAAGAATACTCATGGCTCTTGTATTTGGGCATTTTTTTTTATCACTCAGTTCAGCTTTAAGGTAGAAGCTAATACAGAGAGCTAACTTAGACAGGAAGTGAGATGTGCCCTCACTTCCTGTTGTGTCTACAGAACACAGTGAGACGAAATCATCCTATTGGACATAGAAAGTAAAAAACAAAAAGGAAAAATCTAATAGGGGTTTTAAAGAAGAACTCCAGGTATGCAAAACATTAATAGCCCTGCTGCAAGGGTTAAGTGCTTGTTTTTGTCTAGGGGCTGTATTCTGACTCCGATTGTTGTGATAGCGATATATCCCTTGTGAGACCTCTATGCCTGGCCTGTATAAGCAGATATACTCACTGCGGACAATCCTTGTCAGATAGCTGAACTCGTCAATACCGTTTCATCCAAAAGAGGTGCTTTATTTTTAACATCAGGGTTACATCAGATGATAGGAACAGCAGATGAATGGTTTCAGTATTGTGCGGTCAAAAGATGATGCCTTTCCTAGCGTACTATGCAGAATACATGTGTCCCTGTTACATGTGGCCTGTTAGCTGTGGCCATGACACAGGAAGTACTGACTCAGGAAGAAGGGTGGGGCATACTTACAGAGGAAATGTGTCATCACAGGAGGAAAGAATTACAGAAAAACAGGTGTGTTATCACAAAAGGCCACTAGATGGCAGCATACAACTTACATATAGAATGGTCATAGGAAAATGGTATAGAGAAAACGATCTATATAAAACTATCTACTAACATTAATGTAATAACATATTCTATGCCCCATTGGGGCGGCACAGGCTGGAAAAAAAGAAGATATACTCACCTGATCCTCAGCTCAGTGGCAGTGAGGGCTCACATCTCTCCCCCTCTGCTATAGCTGTGGTATGTCCCTCAGCATCCTCACATCTAATGCAGGTGAATGGACTGCATTAGACATGATGACGTCAGTGGGGCAGCGCCATCTACCAGGTTGCCATAAGTCCCAATCCAAGATATTACCAGCACACCATGTTTAGATGAATAGACAGGACACTGTAATGTCACCGACAGGAAGCAATGTTTCCAGGCCACTAGGGATCTCTTCCTCAGGCATCAGTAACAGATAGATGGTAGTTTCTCAGGGATCCCAACCTAAAAAAAGCAATTTCAGGGAGGTGCCCTTCTCATTTTAGGGAGGTGCTAATCTACCTATCTTCCCCTCTTTGGATTGTACCATGTTCTCCATCACTACATATTTGCCAAAATGTTCCAAAAAAATGGGTGGACATTTTGTAGGAGGAACCCAGGGATCCCAACCTGAAAAAAGGCACCCCCCCTAAATGATGGCAGATAGTACGGGAAGCAATAGCTTCTTTGCTATCTGCTTGGTTTTTTTTTTGTATTCTGACAGCTGCTGCCATTAGAATAAAAAAAAAAACCCAGCATAGCAATGCATAGCTAGATTCCTATTGGCTATTACAATTTGCAATAGCCAATAGCAAGCCAGATATTGCACCCACCCTTTGCTGCTGTCAATCACTAGAAGAGGACCTGATGGAGAACTTCTGGTCCCCCTCTGCTGATTGACAGCAGCAGTGGGCGGGTGCAATAGCTATTGGCTATTGCAAAGTAAAATAGCCAATAGCAATCTAGCTATGCATTCCTATGCTGTTTTTTTTTTTTTTCTGACTGACGACGGCCGGCGGCCCCGATGTCAGAAAAAAAAAAAAACAGACAGCAGGGAAAGATTTACTCTGCTCGATATCCTTCTCACAGCCGCTGCTGAGTTGTTTACAACCAGCAGCTTCGCAGGAGGTGGCTGGGCCCGTCAGCGGCAGTGATCGAGGAGGCGGGGCCCGGCGATCAAGGGGGTGGGGCCCGGCGATCGAGGGGCGGGGCCCGGTGATCGAGGGGCGGGACCCGACGATCGAGGAGGCGGGGCCCAGTGACGGAGGAGTCGATCGTGGAGGAGAAGGAGACGGACAGAGGATCAGGGCTGACAGGTAAGAGGGCTTGACCACCCGCCTGAGACCCTGCAGAGCCTACCATAGAGAGTCTATGGTGGGCTCTGCAGGGTCACCCTTAGGTGGGCTGTTTGGGTTATCAGGTGGGCGTAACTAGAAATCACAGGGCCCCATACAAAATTTTGCTATGGGGCCCTGTGATTTCTAGTTACGCCCCTGATTGTGACATCCACCTTAGATGATTTGGTCTTCCTCTTACACCCTGAGTTGTAATTACCACTTATGGGGCCATTGATATGAGGCAGAGGCCCGTACCTACCAAGTGTCCCACACCACATGAAAGCAGCAATAGATCTTATGTCTTCCATACACCGCTATAACTACATTGTCAAAGGAAGATGGGACATGCCGTTCTTTCAGTTGAATCTAACATCCATGAGATGTGATGTAGGACACCTCACAGGCCTCTCTTCCTAGTCAGAGATAGGAGATCGTAGGGGAGGAACGATGATGTAACATCCCCTTAAACGTTTTCTCCACACTACATAAGGTATTGAAACGAAATTTGGGCATTTTTATTGCACCTGCTAAAAACAGAGGTCATCCTGGAATTCAGCTCTAATGTCAATCTGTTTTCTTTCTGCTGGAGCAGATATCGGTACAAATTGGTCCAACTGATACAAGTGGCCAAGTGTTGAGTGCCACCTGGGCATTTACACAAACCCCCAAACTTTACATGTCAATGACACAGTGCGAGTCTCTGCTGATATCCCAACAACAGGATACATAAAGGGCTACCTTGTAAAATAACAAATAAACAGGCCCCCAAACATTACATGTCAATGACAGAGTGCGGGTCAATAAAAGCATACATATAGGCAGGGCCTGATTTAATCTCTCTGCTGCCCCAATGCCAGGTTCCTCAATGTGCCCCCCCCCCATAGCCGAGATCACTTGTACAAAACAAGTGGCGGCTTCCCCGCTGTACATTTAGCTCTGCTTGCCCAAAGCATGGCTGAATGTAGAAAACAACTACCCGCCCGGCCCCCCGAACTGCATGTCCCAGGCGTCGGGAGATAGGAATTCCACACCCCTGCTGCCCCTCTACTCCCTGCTGCCCCGAGGCCGGGCCTTGGTTGGCCTTGTGGGAAATCTGGCCCTGCATCTAGGCCTACCTTGTGAAATAATAATAATCTGTTTTCCCATCTTACATACAGTTCAGTAGAAGAAGTCTGTATTAGCAGAAGTTACAGATTTCTTCCCCTTCTTCAGATGTTTGAGTTTTACCACTTTAACACAACACTTCCTTTTTTAGTTTTTTTCATTGGTGGCTAGAAAATCAGTTTGGAGTCGGCCATGATCCAGGAGTTCCGGAACTGAGGTGGTGGAGGGCCAAACTTGAAAGCTTGGTGGCATTTCCCACAAATCAAATGATTGTCATACAATGGGAACTGCTAGTTTCTAGTTCTGCTTTATTGTTTCATAAAATTGTGCGGAATGGATAATAATAAAACTTTAGGTAAATTCTTTTCATAGATCCACTTTGAGGTTTCTTCCCATTTTCTTTCAAGTTGTCCAAGGCTATTTACAAACATACTCAGCCAGTTCCCTGTAAAGGGAAGCACAAAAATAGCATTTGGTGTAAATACAAAATAAAATTCCACTTGAACACTCTTCGTTTGTCACTTTCTACTCTTCACTGTGGACACCTCAATCCAGAAGTGCCAAAGAAGTAGGAGCAAGCTTCTACCTAGTAACAGTTGGTGTCACCTCCTCCACCACCTCCTCCTGATTTTCTATTGGCTGCAGATTTTAGAGCTGAGTAACAAACTTCTTCTGGGTTTCAGTTCACCCTGAGGATTGAATTGACGATCCTGCAGAGATGAGCTGAGCTTTTATCATATCGCTGCTGATATACGGCGCGTTATGGACCCCGGGAACAGGTATTCTATTCATTTCTTCATCTTTGTAACAATGTAACAATTCCACTGACCAAGGTAATCCTGCATTGTAATTTAATTTTGTTACTGTATATTGTATTTGTATTAGTATGTGAATGTAGGCAGAGAGACACGAGGTAAGTCTATGGACACATGCACCCGCATGCAGACACCATGTGACAGGAAGTGCCAGCAAGGACAGAGCAGTCAGCGCTGGATCAGAGACCTGTCGCGGCGCTGGAGGGACCCATGAAAACATCAGGAAAGATGAAGAAGATCAGATTAAGAGACATAATTTAAGGTAAGTGCTGACATTAACATTGGGGGGAAGGAAAAAATGTTTTGACTTTAATGTCAATTTAACTTTCTTGCTATCACATAGGGGGCTCACAGGTCCCCTATGTGATAGCATTTTAGTGGTGACAGGTACTCTTTTAGGAAACATTAAGGGTCTATTAGACTCCATTGTCATCTTTGTCCTTCAGTGAAGCTGATCAAGCACAGATAGTGTGATCTTTTGCTGCTAACCCTCTTTGCTCTTTCTGCCACCACCCGCCTGCTTCCCTGAAGAGATGAGTCTTTAGGGAACGCCTAAAGGCAGTCAAGGTGGGAGATAGACGGACAGGTTGGGGTAAAAAGTTAGGGTGATATTTTGAGACCAGCTTTGAGATATATCCCGGGGCGGAGTTGTGGATGACTTTATAAGTGACTGTTAATATTTTGAATTGTATCCTCTGGGCGAGTGGAAGCCAGTGCAGGGATTGGCAGAGGGGGGATGCAAACACTGAGCGGTTGGTTAGGTGAATGAGTAAGGCAGCTGCATTCATGATAGACTGAAGGGGGGATAGACTGTGTAGAGGAAGGCCCATGAACCTCCATTAAGCTTTTAGAGTCCCAGGAGCCCCCCATATCAGGATGCCATTGCCCAATATGCCCTGGATGTCTCCAGATCTAAGGTCGGAGCTCTGCCATGCTCTCTGCACCCCGGAATACAATGTGCTCTGTGATCAATAGACGGACTTGCACTGCCTTATGGGATATTCCCAGGGAAGTATTTAGACATCTAGGGTGACGGGAGGACGCTAGTTTGTGTCCTCCCGTTACCCTAAGTAGAACTATGGGGAAAAGCCCTGACCCCATAGTTCTCCTTGAAGCTATATAAGGCAAACCTAAATGATGATGCTCTTTTTGCACAAGCCCACTATAAATATCACAGAGTGCTCTGGGAATTCATTGCCCTGTATTAAATGTTTATGTGCAAAACAAAGATTGCATATATACACTTAGCTCACATCTCATTTGGAGGGACTGTCACTCTATTTAAGCAAAAGTGTAATAGAAGAAGAGCCCAATAATATATTTGTGTTGCTTGTTACATGCATTGCACTGCCATTCGTTTTGTAGGTGGGGAGAGAGATGTGATTGAGTAATATCATAATTACTTATAAATAATGAGTCATCTCATCATTTCACATGCTCATTATTTCCTGTGCTCATTATTAAAAAGTCTGTTCAGGTTGTTGGCTGAACTGATGTTCCTATTCAAAGGTTTCCCTTCACTTTTTGTTCCTGACAGTTGTTCACGTTTGGACATCAGGATAGATATGGAGGGTGAATCCGCTTAACATGGAAATAAACAACAATTCAAACCTCACAAAGGCTCCAATTTTCCTCCAAAATTTCTAGATTTAAAAAAAAAACATTTTCTTTGGAGTTGTACTTTAAATAATTCGACTTCCACACGGATTATCCATTGACCTCAGCTTTTTGCCTTAATTGTTTACAAAGCATTCTTTGGTTTATTATATGGTTTCTCAATCGTGTATCTGTTTCCCTTGACAGCTAAACCATCTGTGGAGGTCTTTTTACCAGTTCAGTTACATCCTGACAGTCTCCCGGTGCTGGTCTGCCAGGTGTGGGGCTTTTACCCCCAAAATATCAGTGTTGCCTGGTTTAAAAATGACAAGTTGGTCAAGAACTACACAGAGGCTGTGAGGACCGGAGACTGGACCTACCGCATTTTGGCGACCCTGGATTTGAGGAATTCCCTCCCTGAAAACAACTACACCTGCTTGGTCAATCACCCGAGCCTGGACACACCAATAGTGAAGACCTGGAGTAAGTGTGACAACGGGAATGGGGTTCCTGTTCCTCCACTGTATACACAACACCATCTCCCATATCCCAGGAGAATTGTATTGTTATCCTTTTATTTACCTCCTCCCCTCCCTCAGCGCCCCTCCAAAGTCTTATACTTACCTGTCCACGTTCCTGCCAGATCCACGCTGTGTGCCTGCTGTACTCTATTGGGAGTACTGGCATCGCTGCAAATGTTCCTAGCCAGTCACTTATAACATTCCCATTCGTTTCTATGGAGAGGCCATCTATCGTTGGGACACGTGATTAGGTGATTGACAGCCTCTCCATAGGACTGAATGGGATTTATCCATGAATGCAGCACAGAAATAAGAGACTGGCCACAGGAGTGATCTGGCAGGAATGTAGATGGGTAAGATGGGTAAGTATTAAGGCCCCATTCACACGTAGCAATATACCTTTTGCAGCAGCCGGGATAGCGCGACTTTCGGGGCGACGATCCAGCGACGGTAGCGCGACCTTCTCCGTCGGGCTCCATTAGAAAAAAAGCAAAATCCGCCGAAAAAAGGGTCCTGTAGAAGCGACTTGCGACCGCGACGAGCGACGCGCGACATGGAGCTAAAACAGCTCCATTGACTATCATTAGCCGGCGACTTCTCGCCATATCGCGCGGCAAAAATGTGCGATATCGCGGCGGAAATCGCGCGATAAGTGGCTATGTGTGAATGGGGCCTAAGACTTAGGGGGGTTACATTCAAGCAGGGGTAGGCAACCTCAGCACTTCAGCTGTTGTGGAACTACAAGTCACATGAGGTATTGCAAGACTATAACAGCCACAGGCATGAAGAGATTTCTAGTTTCACCACATCTGCAGTGCCGGGGTTGCCTATCCATGCACCACAGGATAACTTTCCAAAAACAAAGTTATCCTTTAACGCAGAACTACAGCAAGTATAAAACACACTCTTGGGTGCATTAAAGCATCCATTTAAAAAAAAATCATTAACTGTATTGTGAAATATCGCTAGCTTGTCTTTGTATTATCTTCTCACAATCCCTTGGCAAGGTTGCAATCAGACCCCCAGGGCCTGTATTGATGGGCTTTTGTTCATGTCAGACAGGGTTTGCATTCTTCAAGTCTATAGGGATGCAAAATCTGGTTGAAGCAGGTCAAAATCAAGTCAGAAGGAGGCCAACTGCAAGTCAGAAGGACGTAAAGTGCAGGTCAAATGCACCTGTCAGTGAATTCTGAATGATCTCAGAGCATCTCAATATGATACAATTACCACAAGCCCGATGATCTTAAAGGAGAACTATGAGGCGAGTGAAAATCACTCAGCCTCATAGTTCTAGCCGACCTGTGACAATGAAACTGGGACACGTCAGCTCAATAGATTGGGAAGTGAGCGAACACATACCGTCGCTCGCTCACTTCTCGATCCTGCCCCTGCAGAGAACCGTGGCTGTCACTCACGGCTCCCTGCAGGGATTCCCTCCCCAGTTGGGTGGATCCAGACAGTATTGTCGGGATCCGTCCCGGCTGCAGCGCCTCAGGCTACAGCTCGCGGTATACTGAGCTTTGGGTGACGGGAGGACGCTAGTTTGTGTCCTCCCGTTACCCTTAGGAGAACTATGGGAAAAGCCCTGACCCCATAGTTCTCCTTTAATTCGGCCAGTGACCACCATTTTTACATCTGATGGTGCAACCTATTAAATTTAGGTGTGTGGGTTCACCTAATATCCAATGAATAATTTCTAATCATAAAATTGTATGAGGCTGTATGATACAGTGATTAGATGAACTGGGAAATACTCTATGTTGTAATACATTTCTATGCTGTAATCACTAATTCCCTCAAATCGATCAGATCTAATTCACCATACTGCACTGGAAACATAAAAGGGAGAACCTGATTGGTTCCTGAGGGCAACAAGAGCTTCCTTTCTTCCGATACTTCTGTGTATGAAGTCATTGTATGCAGGCCCGGATTTCCCACAAGGCCCCCGAGGCCCGGCCTCGGGGCGGCAGAGCGCAGAGGGGCGGCAGCGGTGACCTTGTGGGGAAGTTGCGGGCGCTGCTGTAAGGGAGTCCCGGGGACTCCC